TCGTCGGATTATTTCGCTTCCTCGCGAAAGAATATATTAAAAAATCTAAAAAAAAAAAAAAAAAAAAGTGATGAGTATTTTTCATATCTAACCTTTCCTTCTTTTTATCTTCCTTTTCTCTAAATTTGGTCATTCTTTTTTTTTTCTTTTTCTTTAAGGAAGCCAAACCTAATTCTCTTTGTCATATTCTCATTTCTATCGCTTTATGTTTTTCTTATGATTAGCACTTAGGAGATGCTTTCAAAAGATTGACTAATATTCAAAGTAAGATGGAGATAAAATATTTCTTTTTAACATATATTGAATTAGATACTTTACCTGTAGTAGTTATCTGTTTCCTATGAAATCTGTGAATTAAATTTAAAAAAATACCACATGAATTAGCATTGTAGAGCTTAAGTTGTGGATAATATAATTACAAATGTTATTTTTTCTGTATCTCTCTCTCTGTTCTCTTTTTTTTTTTTTTTCTTTTTTTTTTTTTTTTCTTTGTCCAGAGTCATGGAATTATTTGACCCAAACTAAAGATAAGTATTTATGACTGCGACCACAACGCTGTTTTCATGCAATCAATTCTTTGAAATTTGTGGATAATCCTTTTTCACGGCACTTCAGATCAGATACTTTTTGGTCTTTGATAGAAACGCACACTCACAGGTCGATTTTAAATCAATCTATTTATTAATGTATCTATCTTTTTCTTATTTATTTACTTATTCATCTGTTTATTTATTGAGATACGAGCGTTTTTAGGGATATCGTAAATCAGAGGATATTCATTTGATTTCTTTTCTTTTTTACGAAATATGATTATGATATTTGTTCAGCATGGTTCTGCACACACACACACACACGCTCTCCTCTCTCCTCTCTCTCTCATACATACAACACAAGCACACACGCTTTCTCAGTCTATTCACAACACATACACAAAAACAAACACACACACTCCCTCTTTACCTGCAACATACACACACGTACAACACACTCACAAACTCACGCATACATATACACGCACATACACGTGGCTCCATTATATAAAATTGAAAACAGACATTTTTTAATAAAATATTTGTTACAAAGTTCCACGAGATAGATTTTTTTAGTCGCTTATACAACTTATACCATGCAATTCTTATTATCAAATTAATTAGCATAGACCTAGCGATACAACGAATAAAAATTCCTCCTGAAGATTATGACTGTCTAACAAAAAAATCAAAATAAGATACGTGAACCGTGCGGAAGAAAATTATGACGTATTTACGGCCCCAAAAAATGAAAATGATATTATCATTCTATTATACATGTATGGATTACTTCCCGTTTCACAAGAAAGTTTTAGCCGTATCTGTAATTTCTGTTATTTCATTTAAAAATTTATTGATATAATAATGATTAATATATGGATAGAATAACAAAGATTATCAAAATTGTTATTATAGTTGATATCGTAAATTCCCTCACAATCGACACTTTCAATTTTAATCTTCTTATATGCAAACACACACACGATACAACAATCCATACACACAGACAATTATGTGTTGTGGTGTGTGCTGCTTTGAGTGTGTGTAGTGTGTGGTGTTGTGTGTGTTGTGTTGTGTATGTAAATTGGTCAAAGTCAAAGTCAAAGTTTCAAAACATTTTATTCCATGAATTACAATTGGTTATTTTTACAATAAATACATTCATATCTACAGTTTGATTAAATTTAAAAAAATAGGTGTTTCTTTTAATTATTCGTTTTGAAATTACAAAAGCATTAATTAACCCTTATAATTATTCTGGTAACATGTTCCAGTAGCTTTGGGTCCACGTATTCCATTTGTGTGCCCCTGAGTATCTGTCTTCGGGTCTCTGTTTAACAAATAAAGAGAGTTTACTTTTTTGGCGTGTCTATCGAACACCTGATGTGGTTCCCTACAGTTGCAAGAGGCATTAACCATTGCGGATAATTCCCATGAAATGAGCTTGTAGAAAGAATTACATTATCATAACAGCAATTTAGGGTTGTGACTTTTAAACCCAAAATTTAATTTTTGGATTATGTGGGCTAAAAGTGGATAAAGTTTACTGATATTATACCTAATGCATACTCTTGCAGCAAAGTTTTGTAATTTTTGTAATCTTTTTGCATTTAGGTTTGTTAGTTCGAGAACCCTCAAATATTTGAAACAGTAGTTAAAATGCTTAGAACTAGAGTTTGCACAACCATGATTCTAGTTTCAGTAGTGAATTTGATTTTTTTATTGTGAATTAAGATATACTAGGTGCCATTACTTTCCTGTGTATCTTGTCAACAGTGTTGTTCAAATTCATGTTATTTGTCTAAAGTGTCTCCCAGATTATTCACTGAATGTGTTCGGCTATGATAGAGCAGTCCTTGTCAAGAGTCTATGGTCGTGTCGTGGGAATTTTAGCTATATTCTGCCGGCTAACCTATAAATATACCATTGAGTTTTAATGTGATTTATGTTTAAGGCCATTCGTGTCAAAATATTAATTTTGCTGTGTAAGGGTATGTTGAGTGTTCTATTAATGTATTAAGTTGTTTAGCAGAGTCACATGAAGAAACTGTGGAATCCGGCGTACTGACCAGAAAGCAGTTATGAAGATATTGTTGATAATCATTTATGAAAATTGTGAATAGGAATCGGAGCCCTAAAATGGATCCTTGTGGAACACCAAAGGTAATTTTGTTTTGATGACATAATAATCTTTGATTCTACCGATGGGTCCTGCAATCTAAATAACACTTTAAACCAAAAAGGTATCAATTTATGTTATCTAAATTTGTTGAAGGAGATTTCATGGTTAACCACTATCACAAAGCCTTAGAAAGGGCCATAAATGTGAACAAAATTTCCTTTGATTATGTCCTATGTTATTATAGATCTCAATCAGTTAATTTGTAGTAAAGGCTGTTTCAAGTAAGATTAACTTATTCTGAAACCATGTTTGCGTTAGATAATAAGTTATATTTGGCCTCCAGGAAACCGTCGTTAATTGATTTGGCAAGCAATTTTTTCAAGAACTTTAGATACATAATAGGGAGTATATGATAGGGGATAATTATTTCACATCATCTATATCCCCCCCCCGACTTGAAAATTGGTGTTACTTATACATGTTTCCAAAGCGAACGGAAAGACACCAGTGACCAGAGAAGGTGTTAAAATGAACCGTCAAATAAGTCAATTGCGGGTAGAACTATCCTCTGATAAAGCGCAAAGCAATACCGTTCTGCTCCTACAGCAATTTGCTTCGCGAAGGTGTTTTATTAGACTAAGATTAATTGTTCTAAACGTACTGGTTGTGGTCTGAAAAAATTAGTTGGTAAACATTGCCCCTACCGTGTTTCGTTGTAATGTAAGAAGCAGTTGTTTGTTCATAAAGTTAGTTTTTCCAATTTTTTGAAAAAGAAGTGGATTAAAAATGTTGCTGTGTTTTTGTGTAGGCCCTGCACAATCCCTAGTGAGTTGTTTGGAGGCAACTAGTGTTTTAAACAGTTTTCCAATGTTTTAATCAGAGTTGTTCTATATACACGTAAATTTTATTATTTCTGAAATAATTTCTTTTAGGCAGATTGAATTAACATTTTGACATTTTCTTATTTATGCTTTATAATCTACTTGAAGGCCAGTTTCATGTCTTGTTAAATTTAAGAGCTGGTGGGCCTTCATTTTCTATCGCAAAATGCCTCTCTTTGATGTCGTCATTTATCCATAGGAGCAGGGGGACGTGCTGACGATTCGTGTTACGGTAGGGAGCCAGCGCCATCGATTTCTGATATAATAACTTCCGTGAGATTAGGTTACCTTGTTTGTTACCAATTATCTGTCGATGGAAATATTTAAATAGATTCCATTTTCTTTTAGACAGGATAAGTTCGCGGAAAAGAACTGAGGGTCAAAAGTGTTTGAAAATCGCGAAAAGTTTTTATATTTACTGGTGGGTCTCTTTGTTTTCTTTATATTTATCGTCATCTGTGATAAGTTCATGATCAGCAACGTGGCACGGGGTGACATCGGAATGGAGAAATGAGATCTCTGGTCTGTTAGTTATATTAATTAAATCTAATAGAGAAGAAGGTGTTTTCTGTAATCGAGTAGTTTTTATCTATTATTTTTGTTCTGATTATTTTTCTCTTAATTACCTTCGCTAATTTAGCAATTTAGGTTTTGTTAAAATTCGTCATTTAGGTCAACCTAAAGAATGAAAAAAGCGGTTTCTTTTTTTAAGAGGACATTTCCTCTAAAAAACCTTTTCAAATGTATTCAAAAAGAATCCCGAGGTAGCATGGGGTGCTATAGACAGTGGCCAATAATGAAGGAAGGAAGCATGTGCTTTGTACGGTAACGGCCAGACATCTTCTAACGGCAGTATTGTTAAACTGCTGTAAGTAGATATTCCCCTGTTTGAACTTCAGGGTTTCCCGTAACATATATACCAAACTCCTCCCTGCCTTTGCCGCTGCATCCATCTGTAAACTTAAAATTTGAAAATATTTTGAAAAATTACTGACCATTTCCTGGTGAGCCCATGTTTCACTTATGCATAATATGTCCTATGTTGCTTCCTCAACAAGATTTTAATTTCTTCAAAATGCCCCGAGGAGAGACTGAAGCAACGTTTATATGCTTCTAATTTGATGACCATTTTGCGGATCTAGTCATTGGTAAGCTGACGGCGTTGCCCTGGTCAAACATTCTGATCGCGCTTGTAAACTTGTTTTTTGTTTAGGAACACTTAACATTGTCAGGAAAGTAATCAGAGTCTAAAAATAGTTAAGTTGATGTTCTTTTCATCTTACTGACACCAGTAAAGCTTGGGTGTAGTAATCATGTGTCAATCACTGGTCTTATGGGCCTTGACCACTTATGTTTTCAAACTTTTCGGATAAAAGATGTTTCTTTCTATATCTCTTCGTTTGTGGTTTGGGTGACCAAACTGGGTGGATGTTAAAGGTAGATGTGTCAGGACGATTCCTGCTCCCTTTAAACGGCTTTGGTTTTCTCTGTCTCTTTTTCTCTGATTTCTTGACTTGACCTTGGCTGTAACCGTCTTCCATCAATTTGTGTGGATTTTGCTCGTTCGGCATAGTTGTTAGATGACCTGGTGGGTGCTGCTGGAGGAGGGGGGGCAGCGGGTTGGGCGGTAAGCCCCTGCACTTGCTGCTGAAGCTGTTTCCCTCCCAGTGGCGGTTGGGGCGAGATGTTCTCTTTGATTGTTACTCCTGTTGTTTGTTCCTTTTCTAACAAGCTCCGTTTAGGTGTTACTATGTGTAGAAGCTTCCACCTTAAGTCTTCTTTGGCCGTGTTGGGTTTTGGTCTCACGGCAGAGGGCTCTAGTTGACTTTGGGGAGGCGGGGGCGTCTGTAGGGGGCGGGGGTCCTGCCTGGCTAGGAGCGCCGGGCCAGAGGGGCAACAGTCGATGGCTCAGCAGAGTTGGCGGCCGGCGAGTCAGCAGGGCGAGAGGGAGCTGGCTGGGGCCGCGGGCAGGGAGAGAGGGGAGGGTATATGGGAAGGGGAGATTGCTGGTCGGCGGGTATGGGTATGGAGGGTTGTGGAGGAGGGGTTTGGTGGAGAGGTAAGGGCGTTGTGACTGGGGGAAGGAAGATGTGAAGGGAAAGGTTCATATGTGGTTTGATCACGGGTGGGGGATGGGAGGTAGGGGGGGATCGGCTCTTGTGTGGCCGATGCGTACCTCTGCTTGTTTTTTGCCCTATTAAATTTTTTATTGATGGTCGACTGTTGTTCGGAAAAAAAACAATTCCGATCAACAATGTCTAATTTATTGTTTTCAAATCAGGTTTTGGTCCCGTAGCGAAGGCCATACAGGTCTGTTGTTCCTTGGTCTGTAAACTCTTTTGAAAGAACTTTAACAGAAAGGAATAGAATTACCTGATTTCTTAGGTGGTGACCAGTCGTTGGAGGAGTGTCCGTTGTAGTTGTTGCGAACACTATGTTTGATTACTACCCACTGATCAATCATACTGTGCACAATAATGTTTGTCATCCGTTTAGTGTCCTTGTCGTGCTCCTGGGTTTTTCTAGTCGGATAAACTGATCACAATGTCATGGGCTTATTGTTCAATGGCAGCCGGTTTGTAATGCTTTTTAAAAAATTTGAATCATTGAATGAACCGACCGTGGCCAAAGACTTTTCGTAGCAACGAAACACAAATTGTGTTATAGCCACTATTGTTATACACTGCCGACCTGATAAATTGCTCTTTCAGGTTCAATGTACAATGTTTACACTGTTGTTTCATAGCAAATGGCCCCCCTCACCTGGGCGGGGGCAGCCTTGACCTGGCTGCCTGGGGGTGCCCATTCTCGTGGGCGGGGGAGGCAGGCTCTGAGACACATGCTGCCGGGGGCCCATATTCCTTGGGCTGAGGTCCCGGTACCTCAGCCTGGAGGGGGCGCAT